TGTGTTTATCCTTTGTGCAGCACTTTGGAAACCTTGTGTTTGCTAAAATCGTGCTATATAAATAAAGTGTATATATATATATATATATATATATATATATATATCCAACTGTACGTTCCCATACGAGACACAGTAGTAAGAAACGGTGTAGTATTAAGCTGAGTAATCGTCTGTACCGGGGAATTGCTGCTTATGCATGCATTTCAGTTTGTGAGCCACTTCATAGTACGGCCTCTTCTGCTCCTTGCTGAGCTTGGACCACTCACAGCCCAGCTGAACACTGGTGTCCGTCATGCTGGCTCCGGGGCAGGCTTTACGCAGGGCACATCTGTGGAGGTGAGACCACACCATGAAGGCATTCATCGGCCGCTTAATGTATCCGTTCTTGTCTCGTCCAGACTGCATCTGCGTCAGATCTGAGGGAGACGTTTGGGGATTAATTAGTTTGCTTAGAAATCTGTAATATGACAAACAAAAATATACATATGGACAGAAAACACCTAATGAAGAAATACCCCTAAATACTGTCTGTAACTCCTGCTGATGATCGTCTCATTATTTTCTCTTTTGTTATTAAATGTATTTTGGGACACAGGAGATTTATCTATTTTGATTTAAGTATATCTGAACTGAAACTCATATAACAAATGCTGATTTGTAGACAGATTCAAGGAAACACATTTATACCAGGAAAAGAATAAAAACAAATACTCATGTTCAACTTATTAGATATTAAATCAAAGAATTCAGAATTTTGCTGTTGATTTACTATCAAAGTTATTAAAAATATATGATTATTTTGACCTAGAGTTAAACCTTTTGCTTATATCTCATAATTTAGACACAAAAAGTCCAATGTTTGACTTACTATCGCAGACTTTTGACCTATATTATGTGGTATCTCTCTTATTTTTCACTTTGTCATCATAATTTCCCTTTAATATATCATAATTTTGACTAATTGTCTTATAAATCTAACTTTACTAACTCATGGGTCTAACTTGAATGTCTTAATGTGATTTACAATCTCACAATTCTCATTTCTAACTTTACCTAAAACAAAGTTTGACTTAAGATCTCTTAATTTAGATTTCCCAAGAATATATTCCCCACATATTTCCTCTTTATTTTCCTGTTAGAGACCACAGTACCTTCCTCCGTTGGCTGGATGTTAAAACTGAAGTCTCCGGCTCCGGGTCCGGGTCTGGGTGAGTTCTGGGTGAGGAGGTCCGGGTTGAGGTCCGGGTTGAGGTCCGGGTGTTCTCTGTTCGTACCCGGCCTCTCGGTGACCTGGGGCGGGACACTTTGCTCAGCACTGACCCGGGAACCTGCAGCTGCTGCGGTTGTGACAGTTTCTAACCGGACCCCCCCAGGACCGGTGCTACTCTCCCTCACCTGAGAGAGTGGTGGTTTGTTTAAAACGGTGTTAATGGGCGGGAGTTTTCCGTCTCCGCCTCCAAACTGATAACTGGCTCTAATGGAGGCCATGTACTGATCCCAGGAGCCACTTCCGGCGGCCGGAGCTGGGTCCCGGCCGGCGGCAGTGTGTCTGGTTGGTGGACTCCTTTCTGGTTTCATTTTTTGAGGGGTTGTGGTCCAGGGTCGCGAATGTCACTGTGATTTTTTTTTTTTGGGGGATTTTCAGTGTTTCTTCTGGAAATCGTGTTGAATCAAAAACTGTCGGTTGCCCTGGCAACAGAACGTTCCTGGACGTTGAGAGAGCTCAACGGCTGTGACGTGCAGGCTAACGGCTATTTTTATTTATATTTATTTTTTTTATTTTTTTTATAACGTACAGGACAAACAATAAACAATAATTACATGTTATGTGATCAGGACACAAAACAAAAGGTGACTGTAATCCATTACGGTACATTTAGTAAAATAAAATTGGGATTATTTAGCAGCATTACTATTGTAAAATACATGCGAGTGCTAGAATTGTTTCCATCTTCTTTCCAAAGGTTACATTGTTCTGTTGTCTTATAGAAATACACTCACAGAATCAATACTTCTTACTGATATCGGGTAATCTAAAAGTAACGGAAAGTAATCAAGTTACTTTAATATTGTGATATTGTGATATTATTAATTTTAATACGTTTTTTTATTCAGATGTTTTCGGGTTGTCCATTCGTCCCATTCTTATGAACGCAATGTCTCAGGAAGTCCTGGAGGGAATTTCTTCAAAGGTAGCCCAAACGTGGACTCAAGGATGAGCTGATAAAATGTTGGTGGTTCAAGGTCACTGTGACTGTGATTTCTTGTGGGAATTTCTTCAAATTAGGTCCACAAAGTCCACTTGGGCTCAATGATGAATTGATTAGAATTTGGTGGTCAAAGATCAAGGCTACTGTGTACCTCACAAACATGTGTTTGGACTTAACTCGACCATATTTCACGATTGGATGAATGAACAGACCTTTTTCACAGTAGCCATTTTGACATGAAATAGCAGGGTAAACACAGGTGTTACTAATGATACTAACTAAAGTTGTGCTTTGTTTAAATAAAAAAGGGAGGAAACTTGATCTTTAATATTATAATTTAATGTCGAATGAAGTACAGAAAATATAGAGTACAATCAAATGAAACGAGATGTACCGAAAAAAAACAAAAACATGATTCCCGTCAACTAAGTTATGTTAGTAGTAGCTCTCCCATATGAACATATGAACCTACAAGTTAAGCTAATAAAATATTAAACTAATAGCTATGGAATCATCCTTCTGAGAGTAACAAAATAAAGATTTGGTCATTTGGAGAGCAGTGCCTCGGAAAATGACAAGAGGCTCCGCTTAGCTGTGTTTGCACATCAAACAGAGAAAACTATACCCATACATAAAGTCACGCACTCATTCACGCTTTTCTCACACGTACACTTCAATCGAGACCCCCAAAAAACCTTTTAGATTTGTCTCAGCTAGCGATAGAAATAATTTAAAACTCAGCTAATGGAAAAGAATTGCCAATTTGTCTAATCCAAGTCCGATGTTACGGGGGTTATTTTGTAGTACGTGCTTTGTGGGGCGCAAAAATACACCACCAAGTGAGCTGCAGGGTGAACAATGTCTGCTGGCAAAAATACTTTGTAATTAAAGGTACATTGCTGGGTTGTCGCAAACAAAACTCTGTGACGTGCCACTGCCTTAAACATGGAAGAAATTTAGAGGATTGTGATGTTCAGTCTTTAAAATGGTGACCATCGTTTACCCTCTGTTCACACAGCCAGCTGGAAAATACTCTTTAAAAACCTGTAGCTCTAACCGTAAACTGTATGTGTGCAAAAGTAGACTAGGCAGCATAAATCTATGTGGCTCAGAAATAAAGAGAAAATATCAGTGAATAGTACTCTGAATAAAATACTGACTGACCCTTTCATGGCGCATTCATCTGACAGAATGGAAAAATGTTAAGTAGAGGACAAATATCACTTTTAATCGTGAGCGATTATTGTAATATCAAAGAGCCCAACAGCATTTTAGGGACCTTTGTTCTGAGCAGTTCAAGGCCGAACCCACGTTGTCATTTAAACATCAACAAACAGTAGGACCGAGTCTTACTGTACACTGAGTCAAGCCTGATAAAAAGAGGAGAGGAGACAAAAAAGGGTGTAATATGTGCTTCATCCACCCTAATATGGCTCTAGAATAAGTACCACCATACAGTTTTATATCAACACATACACCCATCCTGCTCTGTGCCGGAGGACCAGAGTGTGGATTCACTGTACTCCAGATACTGTAACTGTTATACTGTTTGCACAACGATCGAGAGAAACCCCCTGCCAATAATGTAATGGCTTAAATCTTGTGGTAGAATTTGGTTGAAATAATATAAAACATGATATCTTGGGCTACAATACAGAGCTGTACTGATTGAATTCTCAGTCACAGAGAAGAACGTTTTGCAGTGATTTCTTTGTAATGCTGTGGGGATACACTGTAGTTCATATATAAAAACAGGTTAAGATGAAGATCCTTTCACCACAGGACTAGAGACCGTGGCTAGACACCTTCCCTGCTCTTAGGGTCGTCCTCTATGTGACTTGATGTCATCAAATTACCACTGGGTGAGGGGGCACCAGTGGGCGCTCTCCCCCTCCCTCCAAGATCATAGTGAACCATCACTGGTGCCAGCTCGCCAACGAGAGCAGAAGCATAAGAGAAACATGCAAGGTCGTCTTCAAGTACAGCAGTCCTTCAGTGGTTCACACTCACATAATGTCAGACATGCACACTCACGCTCACACACTCAAACACACACACATTTACACTCCTTCATTTCCCAAAACTGCCAAAGTTAGCGAAGGCATCTTGTTTGGGTGGAACCACAGCCGGGGTGATGGAGTGCGTTAGGCCCATCCCAACTCCTGGCACTCCCATGCCAGCCATACCACCCATCATCACTGGAGCGGCCATGCCCATATTCATGCTCATGTTCATTCCCATCATGCCTTGGTTTACAGGAATTGCCCCCATCCCCATGGTGCCCGTGGTCATTGAAGAGGGCATATTCGCTGCCAAGGAAGCAGGCATGCCGGTTGCCATCGATGCGGGCATGCCCATCGTCATGGCGTTGCCTGCGATCATGGCGTTGGCTGGTGGTCTGATGGGTGTCACGTGGGGCGGGGAGCTGAGGTTAAGTCCTCCGAAGTTCTGGGCCAACAGGTTGACGGGAGGCACTCCTGCACAGACACATGTGGACGGGGACCAGTTAATACACTGTTTGACCATATAAAGCCTTATACTGTGTAACTACAGCTGGGTCGTTTTTATTAGGTAATTAATTGATCTAAACAATGTATATTTCAAATGTCCACTGACATCAACATGTCCCACTAAATCACTTAAAATCCTCACTTTGAAACCTATATAACAAGGTTTTTGCAGGGTTCTTTTTAATATACTTTAGTACCACACAGAATTCAATTTAATACCTGTTTCATGGTCATACCAGCCAATGTATAAAATATATCAATGAAACCAACTAGAGATAATATGGCCTCGTATTATTTACCCAGTCCATGTATTTATCGATATTTATATCACACTTTATACCACCAGCTGTATATAACAATAATTCCTAATAATATCACTAATTAATCATTAAATTTGACCTGGATCTGGATTAGCAGCAGAAAATGGATGGACAAATAAATGGATTAACCAATTAAACAATAGTCAATTAATTTACGGTTCACATATGAATTTTACCTGAGGTCAAAGCTTTGGAAGAATAGTATTATTAATAATAATAACAACAACAACAAAAACAACAACAACAGGGATTTTGCAGCCAGTTTTTGCTAAAATCATATTTTACATATATATAATGTTACTTTCTACAGCAGGCTAGAAGAATACTTGTGTTTTAAAAGACCAGTGAGTAGGATTTATGGGCATCTAGCAGTGAAGTTGCAGACTGTAACTAACTGAACACCGCTGGCGTTTGTACTTGACAAGCTGGGAATGAGAACGGGTTGTGAAATGTGTAGGAGAAAACTACAGTGGCTGCGAAACTAGCAAAAAAACGTGAAAGGTTAGAACCAGTGTTTGTTTTGTCCATTCAAGGCTACTGTAGAAACATTCTCCTACATTTTACACAGTGGGCCTTTAAATGAAATACAGGACTTTTAAATATGAATCATTATAAGGCCTATTATAATTCAGGAGATTGAAATCAACTGCTGTTAAGACCTGCACATACCTTGCATAATATATATATATATATATTTTCTTTTTTTTACATCCACACGCTGCAGAAACTGCATACAGACAATGAATCACAGTATAGAGACATGATACCTTGTTGCTGGATGATGTTGTTGAGTGTGGGTGGTGTCTTAGTGGGGTTGAGGCCTGCTGATAGGAAGTCCAGGCTGATGTTGACAGAGGGGTCAGACCAGGTCGACCCTAAAGACCCTTGACCTCCAACACCAACCTTCTGCTGTTGTCCTATGGGCTGCTGCGATGTCATACCTCCCAAGCTCTGAAATACATTGCAAACATTATTAAATAACATTTTCAGTGGCATTCATAATCTACCTCAGATTTTCTTACAATCTGAGACAAATTAAGACTTTCTGTGATGTGTACTGTGCCCACCTGTTGAGACCGAGAAAGAGGCATGGTGGGCATACCAACAGATGGTCCTGGCATCGCCCCTCCCAGAGAGAAAGTCATGCTCTGAGAGGCACTCAGTGTTGTATGTGGATTGGTTAGTTGATGGTTAACTCCACCCATGAGGTCAAAGAGCTCGGCAGAAGGCGGGACAGTGGCGGGGTTAGGGGCCGGGGTTGTAGGTGACTGGACGCTGCCAAACAGGTCAGTGACGGGCTGTGAGGGACCAGAGCTGGACGAAGCTGGTGGATTGGCTGAGAAGGCATTCCAGTCTCCAAATTCTCCATTTGCATTGGATGACGCAGCAGCTGGCCACAAGACAAGAGTGATATGTTTAGTTAACAGGAACTACCAGGAACTGTGTTCTTCATTAGGTTTACATTCATTTTTCTAAAAAAAAATCTTCATGCACTAAAAGAAGATAAATACATTGAGGGTGTTTTCAAACCTGTACTTTTTAGTACTGAGTTAAATTGGACTCCTTGTTTTCCTTCTTGGTG